TATTAAGGATGAAGATCAAAAAATACTTTTCTTAGAAGATGATATTCAACAAAGGTGGATGAGATATTTTGCTAAACTTTTTAATGAAGAATGTAAAAATACGATTGACTATGGTGACCTTAGCACCCTAAATGAAAATAAAGGTTATATTTTTATCGGTGTATTAGTAAAATCGAAGTTAGATAGGCTTCAAAGAAAATGAAGGGTGGAAAAGCTGTTGACCTGATGATATTTCAATATAGGTGTGGAAATGCTTAGGAGATGAAGGAATTTCTTGGCTTATTAATTTTTTTAATACTATTTTGAAGACTAAAAAGATGCTAGATGAGTGGAGAATGAGTGTGTTAATTTATATTTTTAAGAATAAAGGTGATGCACAAGATTGTGCGAATAATAGATGAATTAAGTTAATGTGTCATACGTTAAAACTATGGGAGCGAGTTATGGAGCATAGGTTGCAGCATGACACTAATGTTTCTCAAAATCAATTTGGATCATGTCGTGTATATCGACTATGGAAGCCATACATTTATTAAGGTTTGATGGAGAAATATAGAGAAAATAAGGAGGATCTACATATGATATTTATTGATTTAGAAAAAAACATATGATAAAGTTCCAAGAGTAGTGCTATGTAGAATTCTTGAAAAGAAATGAGTTAATCATGCTTATATTCAAATCATTAAGGATATATATGCTAGAGTTATTACTTGTTTCCAAACACAAGGTGGTTTGACCAAGTATTTCCCAATTTCGGTTGGGTTACATCAAGGATCAGCCTTAAGCCTATATCTTTTTTGATTTAGTCATGGATGTTCTCACTAGACATTTGCAAGATGATGTATTTTGGTGTATATTTTTTGTTGATGATATTCTTCTTACTGATAAGACTAGAGAGGGAGTTGAAGGTAAACTTGAATTATAGAAGTCAACCTTAGAGTCTAAAGGTTTCCGCATGAGTAGATCTAAAATGGAATATATGGAGTGTAATTTTAGTAGTAATAGACCTAGTGAGAGGATTGTGACTTTGAGCGATCAAGTCATTAATAAGAGTACACATTTTAGATATATTGGATATATTATTCAGAGTGATGGTGAAATAGATGGGGATATTATCAACAGAATTCAAGTTGGATGGTTGAAGTGGAGGAATGCACCGGGCTTATTGTGTGATAAAAAAGTGCCCCTGAAACTTAAGGGAAAATTCTATAAGATGGGGTGAGGCCTAAAATGTTTTATAGTGACGAATGTTGGCCATTAAAAGAGAAGCATAATAATAAGTTAAGTGTGGTAGAGATGAGGATGCTCAGGTGGATGGATGGCTTTATCTTTAGAGATAGGATATGAAATAAGCATATACGTGAAAAGGTTGGAGTAGCTCCAATATAAGATAAGATTAGAGAGAGCGCCTTAGATGGCTTGGTCACATCAAACGGCGGCCTTCTGATGACAAGGTTAGAAAAGTAGAGGTATTAGATTTGACTTATGTTAAGAAAGATAGAGTAAAACCTAAAAAGATTTGGTTATAAAATTTTAGAAATGATCTTCCTTTATTAGATTTAAATAAGAATTTAACTTTTAATATGATACAATGGAGAAAAAGGATTCATGTAGCCAACCGCACGTAGTGACATAAAGGCTTGTTATTGTTGTTGTAGAATTGTAATTGGACTATGGCGACTATTTTATGTTAAACCCAAATTGGGGGCTTCTACCTGCTCCAAAAAATTGCTAAATAGGGAATCCACCTTACATGTTTTAGCTAGAGAAGATTGCAAATTCGTGCACATGTGGGAACAGTAACAAATGAACCAGCTCTGTGGGTTCAGGGCTATGACTTTCTTCGTTCTAACGACAGGCGCATGCGCAGCTACAATTTTATTCTTCATTTGAATAAACATAGGTGCTGCACGTAGCCATGTAGGGTAAGTTTTATTTATCTTACTTGGTAAAATTAGGGTTGCTAGGTGGGGAAATATACAGTACATTATATACCTAAAATAGTATTAAAGAAACACCTTATCTACTTGTTGCAGCTATAGTTTTCTTCTTTCCTATGATATCGTTTTTTTTTTTTTTTTTGGGTGGCAATTTCCCACCCTCAGCTGACTACAGAGCCTCCCCTAGAGACGGTGGTATGAGGACATAGTCAACAAGCGATGGTGGTTGAATGGATCGTATTTAGCGGGCAACGGTGGTTGGAGGGACAATAGTCGGCGAGCAACGATGGTTAGAGGTACCATAGTCAACGGGCAACAATTGTCGGAGGGACTTTCGTTGGCAGGTAACAATGGTCGAAGGGATTGTAATCGGCAAGCAATGGTGGTTGGAGTTGACAGTAGTCGGCAAGGGATGATGGTCGGATTGGACCACAACGAGTGATGGTGGTCGAAGGGACCATAGTCGGCGAACAATGTTGGTCAAAGGGGTCGTAGTCAATGGGCGACGATGTTCGAGCTGGACCATAGTCGGAGAGCGACGAGGGTCGGAGGGACCATAGTTCGCGGGTGACAGTGGTCAGAGGGACCGTAGCTGGTGGGTGGTGGTGGTCAAAGGAACCATAATCTACGTGTGATAATGGTTGGAGGGACCATAGTCCATGGGTGAAGGTGGTCAAAGAGACCCTAGTCGGTAGGAAAGGGAGTCTAGAGGGACTTTTGACGGTGGTCAAAGGGTCCATAATCAGTGGGTAATGGTAGTTAAAGTGTGTCATAGTCGGTGGGTGATGATGGTCAAAGGGATCATAGTCTGTGTACGATGGTTGTCAAAGGGATCATAGTCAGCTGTCGATAGTTGTCAAAGGGATTGTAGCTGGCAAGCAACGATGGTTAGAGACACCATAATTAGCGGGTGAGGGTAGTATGAGGGAATGTAATCAGTGGGTGGTGGTGGTTTGAGGGACCTTAGTTGGAAGATGATGGTGGTTGAATGGACCATAGTCGGCGGATGACGGTGGTCTCAGAGACTATAGTTTGATGGGTGAAGGTGGTTAAAGGGATCGTAGTCGACGGGCGACAATGTTTGGGGGTACCATAGTCTGCGGGCAACAGTGGTCGGAGTGGATTGTAGTAAGTGTACGATGGTGGTCGGATGGACCGTAGTTAACAAGCGACTGTGGCCTAATGAGCCATAGTCTTGGGGTAACGGTGGTCCAAGGGACATAGTTAGCGAAAGATGGTGATCGGAGTTGGTGGGCGACGGAGTTCGGGGGGGATCGTAGTCTGCATGTAACAATGGTCGGAGTGGATTGTAATAAGTGTATGATGGTGGTTGAATGGACCATAGTTGACTAGCAATTGTGGCCCAATAGTTGACGATGGCCAGAGGGACCGCAGTCGAGGGTGAGGGTTGTTGGAGAGACTGTAGTCGGTACTATACTAGTCAGAGGGATCGTAGTTGACGGGCAATGGCGGTTGGAGGGACTTTAGTTGGTGAGTGAAGATGCTTCGAGGGATCATAGTCGGCGAGATACGGAGGTCAGAGGGACTTTAATCGACATGCACCAGTGGCATAAGGGATCATAATCAACGGGTGCTGATGGTCGGAGTGGACCGTAGTCAGCAAGCAAAGGTGGTCGAAGGGACCATAATCCGCGGGAGACGATTGTTGGGAGGGACAATAATCAACCAATGATGGTGGTCGGAGAGATCGTAATCAGCATGCAATGGTGGTCGGAGGGACCATAACTGGCAGGCAATGGTAGTCGGAGGGACTATAATTAGAGGGGAAACGATAGTCAAAGGGACCATAGTTGGCGAATGACGGTGGTTAGAGAGACCGTAATCAGCATGCGACGGTGGATGGATGAACCGTAGCCCTCGGGAAGCAATTATTAGAGGGACATTAGATGGCAGGCGATGATGGTCAAAGGAGCATAGTTTACAAGCGACTGAGTCAAAGGGACTTTAGTCGACAACAACAGTGGTTGGAGTGGACTATAGTTGGCAAGAGACAATTGTTAGAGGGACCATAGTTAGCACGCAATGGTTGTCGAAGGGCCATAACTAACTGAAGATGGTGGTCGGAGGGACCGTAGCCGGTGAGCAACGGTGGTATGAAAGACTATTGTCGGCAGACGACGGTGGTTTGAGGGACTATAGCCGATGTTCAAGAATTTTGGTAAGAGATGAAGAGGAAGAGAGCAAACAAGTGGAGAGAGAGAGAGAGAGAGAGAGAGAGAGAGAAGCTTAGCTGCGTTCGACGACTTATGAAGGGCGATGGGACTAGTGGCTTGATGATGAGGTGATGGGACAATAATAAGACGTTATTTTTTAATCCTCATGCTTTGAGTAAGATATATTTATATTAGGTCGTCGCATTTCAAGGGGCAAACCGCTAACTCTATAATTTCCCAGATTTTCTGCATTTATTTCTACAGCAATTTTCCTCCAATCAAAATAAAACACTTTTTCAATATTTTTATATTAAACTATCGAATATAATAAAAAGAAAACAAAATAAAAACTTTCATACATTGCAAGATGGTAAAATATTGCGCTAATTTGATATGTAAGCTTTCAGGTCTTCCTAAAAGAACCTTAAGACTGAACAAGCGCAAATACCTTGAACTTCCAAAACAATCTTCCAGGTAGAACATCTGCACAGAATGATTCAACTGTAGGATAAGATTACTAAAAAGCACAGAATTGCTATCTGCACGAATTTTGTTGCAAATGGGTTGCCTTTTGGATAACATGAATACAGAGAGAGACCATGGTGCTCGCCTTGTATCAATTAAAGAAAGCAGCACCATCAAACCATCTATAATGGCATTCTTAACCATCATGAAATCGTAGTAGAAACAAATACAAACTAATCTGTACAAAACCTAAAGAAAAGCAGAATTGAGGATATCATTATAGGCATCCGGTTCAAACCTCAGTAGTATTTGATTCACTCAGGACGCCAATCACTGTAGAATGCCGAGCTTTTGCTCCATAGGTGTACACATTTCCTCTTCTGCCCAAATAGCACTTTAGGCAAAGACGTTTCAGCTACTACGCTTTTGCTTTCTAAGATCTGATTGATCAAATTCCAACTGCAGCACTTTGAAGAATCACACTTCGTCACCACACATCCTATTTGACCACAGAATTTCAATTTCAAGTGTTCTTGACAAGTCTTTATTGCTGTCATGGCTTAGACTGAAGAGCCCACTATACAGTCCCTCTGTCACTACTTTGTCAATCTGGATGGTTACTCTTCCAAGAGTAGTCTACAAATAAATAGGCAAAATGAGATCCAAAAAATATAAAAATGAATTGCAATCACGTTTTTCTTCTTCTTCTTCTTCTTTTTTTACCTTTCCAAATGTATTTTTGCTTTTACATAGAATATAAAGCTTCTGTCCTTTTGGGGGAACATCAAAAGCCCAGGTAAAACTTTCCTTCCATTCTGGGCATGTATTATGACTTACCACCTGAGATACAGGAATAAAAAGAGAAATTATTGTGTATTATGAAAAGGATAGATATCACGTCTGCGGCCGAGTGGTCGATGGAAGAAATTCCTCCCAAATCACCCGGGCTTGAATCCCCTAACTGTCCAAATATATATATATATATATATATGTGTGTGTGTGTGTGTTGAAACATTTCCAAATTATGCCTACCTTTGTTTGCCTTGGAGGGCCATTTCCTATCTTTAAGTGACAAAATGCATTTGTATTCCCCATGGTCTGCTTCAAGTTGTTTCCTCGCTTAACAGTCACTGTTAAGCATCCAGGTAAGCAGTGCAGTAAGCTGTCCGCTCTTTCATGAAAGCTTGGTGGGCAAGTCTTCATGAGCAATTGAAGTATGGGTATTGCTTCAGCAGCAATTAGAGCCTGTGCTTTTGCAATATCTTCATTCATCTCAGACCATGAGTCTTTTAACAAGCAAAGAGTGTCAAGCACGGATTCCTGCGCAGGCTCACTTCCAGTCTTCAGTGCACCAACCAATTGTGGAATGCACAGAGCCGCTTCAGATGTTCGTAGCTTTTTGAAGTTTGAGAATATCACATATATAGTTCTTAGAACTTCTTCATTTGTGGTGGCATTGGACCACAACTCGTTTTCCAATGCAGCTGCAAAAAGAGCCATGTTAGTAGCAGATTAAGACTAGGAATTGCAGGAACTAATGAAGTTTGATTTTTAAGAAAAAATACACACAAAATATGATACTGCTAACTCCAAAAAACCAACATTAACAAAAAATAGAGCAAAGGGGCAAACCAAATGGGTCAATAAAATTTCATAAGAAATAATATTTAATTTCAATGAGCTAAGTATGACTTAGTAATTTGCATATTAATTTCGATTTGAGCTAAATCACCATCATCATCATCATCATTAAACTTATCCTTACAATAATGGTGGTAAGCTTTATGAAGCTTTATTCTTCATTCACTCATGTTGAATGTCACATGAGGTGTTAACTATGTTTTTCTTTTTTGTACAGCTCTTGTAATGTGCTTTTTATCGCACTATTCTGCTCCTTTCTACTCCTTGCATATTAATTTTATCCCCGCATCCTAATGGTGAACTACTCACAATGAATTTTAAAAACTAATTCACCTGTTAAAGACCTGATAAGCTCATTTGACACATATTCTTGAAGTGTATGATTTGAAAATAGATACTTAATCAGCAATGCAGCCTGTGCACAGACTTCAGCATTTTGTGACAGTAATAGTTCCTGTAGCGCCAAAATTCCACCAGCCTCTGCAACTGCCCGCCTATTTGTCCTGCTGTGCATAACTAAGTTTTGCAATGCACATAATGACACCATTTTCATTTCTTCAGTTGGTTGGTCCTCAAGCAGGCTTATGAGAGCACGACATGCAGATACAGCATCACTAGTTCTTGCAAGTCCATCGTTCTGGAAAAGGTCACCAAGTGCAAGAGTTGCCAAAAATTTTGCAGGCTGAGATCTGGTCTGTGGATCTAACAGATATTGAGATAGAGGAGCTATTGCATATTTAGAAGTTTTCTTTTCTCGCACCCTTGGATTATTGAATAATGCTTCAATTAATCTTGCCGAAGCTTCTTCACACTGATGATATCTTAGCAGCTCTAAGAGTGCATCTACTGCACCTGAGTCAGCCATCAGTGCACCAGTTGAAGGATCATGCCTCTCCTGAACAATGAGAGCACCCAGAGCTATTGCTACCGTGTTCTCCACTGTGGAATGCAACAATCTCACAAGCACTATTGGTGGGACTTTGAAATGGTACTCTGGATTTGATTTAAGAATATTTGACAGAACCAGTGCAGCGGATTCCCACAGTGCAGCACTTGGCAGAGGATCATCCTGAACAATTACCTTAGAAAGCTCAAGAATGCCCCCTGCATCAGCAACAGCCTTTGGCCAGCTCAAGGAGATACTCTCAAGTGATTTTATTGCTGTTTGTTGCAGACTCAATATCCCAATGCCAGCAAGCTGAACAAGTGGAATAACTGCATTTTTGGTGGTAATGTCTTGCTGGAAATGCTCCTGCTCCAAAAGATGAGACAGTAACTCAGTGCCAAGCTGTTGAATGGCTTGGGATGGTGACTCTAGGAATGATATCAAAGGCTCAATAACTTGGCTCGGAGTTGATTTTAAGATAGCCAAGCTCTGTGGTTTCTCCAATATATTCACAAGAGCTTGCAAGGTGCTATGCTGTCCCCACAAAGAGATGTCTGTACGCTGTAAGACTGAGAAAAGGGGCTTTACCATTTTTGCAGCATCTGCACTTTTAGCAATACCACTATTGTTCGTTAAAATTCGGAGAAGCTCAGAGATCAAAGAGCATAACGAGCCTGGCACATCAAGAAGCATCTCAAGTGCATTATCAACAATTCCAGCATTCACCATGTCAAGTTTGCAGTGAGGTCGATCCTTTCCTAACTTAATCAGAGCATTGATAGTGATCTCAGAAAGTTGATGGTTTGACCCTGAAACAAATTGAACCAAGAGTGATACAACATCACATTCAGCTGCAATGTCTGCGTGTTGTTCATCATCCAACAACCTTTCAAAAGCACGTACACCAGACTCTATTGCTTCGCCATTGCTTGAACGCATTAGTGAAATCAAGGGCTGTACACATTGTGATGCAATGAGCATAGCCCTGATGGTTGAGTTTCCAAATAAAATATAACAAAGCCGTGCAGCATTTGTCTTCAATTCTAAAGAAGAACTGGATACTAAAATTTTATAGAGACTTTCAAGTGGAGACCCTTCAACATCAGTCAAAGCTGATGCCTTCGAAATGTTTCCAGCAGTCAGTTTGATCAGTGCAATAAGGGCTGCCTCCTGCTCCCTCTCAGATCCTGCATTTAGCATGTCTACCAATGGTTGAATAGCTTGTCGAGCTATTTCAGTATCTCTGACATCCTCCGATCCAAAAAGCTCCTGCAAAGCCCTTGCAGCACTAAATCTAGCCCTTCTAGACCCCAACCGTAAAACAGCTATAAGCTGATTCAATGAACCTGAAGAAACATCATGTTGAAGTATGTCCGGATTGCTGTATAAGATCCCAAGAAGATCAGTTATGGAGGCTTCGGTGGAATCCTGTGGACTTAAAGACAAATACTTGGTCAATGCTTCCAGAGCTCCAGCTTCAACCATAACCAATTTGTTGGCATCATTTGCTTCTGCTATCTGTGTCAGAAGATGAACAGCAATTGGAGCAGCTCTTGGTCTATCAGGCATTGGTCTAAGAAGGTCCACCAACATGGGTATTGACTTGCGAGCAATGCCACCAATCCTAATATCTTCTACCTCAAACAAATGCTGGAGTGCAATGTTGTCAGGGTTTCTCACCAGATTAAACTCTTCAGACAAAGCAACAAGGTTCGGCGTTTCTGATTCTGCATGACCAACTAAGCTGATTAGTCCTCCAACAGAACCTGCATTTGCAATAGCAAGATGAATTGCTTCATCGCTGGCACAAACAAGACTACAAATTGCTTGAGCAGCAAAATATTTTTCATTAATTTCATCTGACATCAGCAAGCAAGATAGTGAAGGTATTATTTTGTTGGTTGTTGGTGACCGAATAACCTTTTCCTCTTGAAATAAAATAGCTAAAAGCAGGGCACAAATCCATACACCCTCTGTATCGTCAAACTCGCCCTGTATAGAGAATTTTCAGATGGAGAAATAGGCCAAATATAGCTCAAGATATCAACTAAAATAAATAGTCATTTTAACATAAATGGAATTAATAAGTGATAAACGGAAATGCTTCAAAATAAAATAAAATAGAACATAATGATTAATTTCCCGCTCACATTCTTAAACAATTTCACAGGTATAATTGTAAGAACGTAAAGCTTGGAGCCCAGTAGTAAACGGATGGCCATAGCATCCAAAAGACATAACAACAACCCCGCAAGGGAATTAAAAACCATGATGTGATGCCACAGTAAAGCCAACGGCCAAGTCTTAAGCAGGACAAACTCATTTTTTCTCCTATTTTGGAATCCAACCGCAACAGACCCTACCCATTTAGTCTGCTTCCTAGAGCTTCTTAGAGTTATAAAGCATTTTGAACAGGGACATTGTAGACTGCATAAAAGCTATGGATATTCCCCTCTTTCCTCTAAGTCGATCAGTTTGTTTGGAGATTTTCCTCTACAAGTCATTTCTCCATTCAATCAGCAATAAAGACTGTTAGAAACATTCCTTTTTCTCCTAAAATATGACCATACCCAACAACAGAAGTTTTCAATAGAAGCTCGGGGTGCTATTATTAGGAAAAGAAAAAGAGGTCAGATAGCAACAATCACGTGAAAAAAGAAAGATTCCGCTGAAGTATGGCTAGCAGCAGCAAGGAACTACAGGCACACTATTTTCACCTCTTCTCATCCCTACCTATATCAATTGATGCACCATCTCTTAATTTTTCTCTTACCATCTATTACGCTTTTACATTTGGCATTGTTTGGTTTAAACCTTAAAGAACTGAAAGAGAAGAAATCAAATGGAAAGGGAAACAAAAACTGACAAAGGAACTGAATTAAACTGGTTTTCACCAACTTGTTTGTCTGAGAAAAAATTGAGTGGCAAATTAGTTTTTCTATCATATTTGGTCAATAAGAAATCAACTTCTTATTTTTGTTGAGGGGGCATGCATGTGCTTTCACATGAATGATCCGCTAAAATTTTCTTCCAAGTTTTCAGCAGGACTGGCTAGAGACTTGTTTAAGGAAAAAGAGAAACAGTTGTTGGCAATTCTTATGTAAATCCAATTAAAATGAATTACATTGGAACCAAATATCTAATATGAACTTACAAAGTAAAATTTATTTTGCATTCCTCCCAAATTCATTCAAACCAATCCAAGCTAAATGTTCAGTTCTTTCTTTGAAGGGGAAAGTTTCCATGGGCGCTGGTATTTAGGCACTGAAAAATAAAGTGACGAAGTTTCTGAATGTTAAGGATGACAAGGCTGGAGTGTGCAGGGGAGCAAAGAGATGATTGTCATAGCACTGCAGGGAATGCGTCAATACAATCCCAGGTTTAAAACATTGGTATTTACAGTATTCTGGATAAGGATCCAACCACTCAAATACCTCAATCAAATTACAAAGACCATTGCCCTTCCCTTTGTGTGAATCATGCGACACCCCTCTTGGTAACCAATCAACTCAAAAATTTTGCGACGCTCACTGATTCAAGACAAGAATTACATAAGATAATCAAAATGGCATTGAATTCCTCCCTCATGAGAAGCTAGCCGCACACCTTCTCCTTACTCCTGCAGCCAAGCATCACTTAAATGAGCCTTCTCCCTCCCGCCTCTTCTTCCCTAACCTACAACAACATTTCATCCTCCTAATCTTCATCTACGAATGCAAGTAAAAATCACTCAAATTTATTTCTCTTTAGATGTGTTCGCTCAGGAAAAATAGAATAGGCACGAACCTCGCTCTCGCAAGCTTAAGATTCCTTATTTTCCCTTAGGTAGATTGGATTTAGATCTGGGTCCTACTTCCTATGAGAGCAAGCTCCCCTAGTTAATTACTCTTCCTAACGCATTAGAAGAGCGCTCGATTAATGATGAAATATATTTAATTTGTGCAAGGAGTGTGGAAATGTACAACAATGTTTTAATCTTAGTTATGGGGAATGAAGGTACACCCAATCAAGATCCTATGATTTCGTCGTCCTGGGTATACCGTGAGTTTCAGTCTACCAACACTAACAACCATTGATTTTAGTGTCCATGGAATCTAATTAGCAGCTATAGATTATCTCCTCTCAAGGATCCCGAGTAAACTAAAGTGGAAAATGTTAATTTTTAATTTTGTTTGGTTTGGGTTGGGTCTTATGGCTCTGGTTAAGAGTTGCCCGTGTGATTGGATTTGAGAAGAGGCTAACAATTTTCATTTGAAAGTAACCCCAATTGTGGGTCTTATAGCCTCTATTAAAGGCATGGTTTAAAATTGCGCAATATGAGGCTCGCCTTTGCGCAATTCCAGTAAAAAACGCCTCGAGTTTTTATTATGAGGCTTGTGCCTCAACTTGCTTGAGGCTCGCCTTGAGGCCCGCCTCGCCTCACTGGCATGAGGCTTACGCCTTACGCTATATATATTAAAACTTACATAAATCTTGAAGTAAATGCCCGACATTGGACTCTATAGGAGAGGAGGAAGGGGAAAGAGTAGTTCGCCATAATGATGATTAAGAACCCCTTAGTGATGACAGAGCTGATGATTTATGAGTTTTTAAGTGATATGGGATTGCCATTTATTTTTTGAAATTGGAATTATATGTTAATGAAAAGAATACTAGGATTTGGGAAAGATAGAATTTTGAGTTGAACTATATTTCATGTTGTCTTATTATTGAGATATTTTGATTTCACTTCATATCTTATATTTTCTATGTTTTATATTATTCATTCACTAGTATATAAAAAATTTATCATTTTATGTTTACGCAATCTTTTGATTTTGAGGCTTACACCTCAAAACGCCTTGAGGCTTACGCCTCGCCTCACGAATGAAATACGCCTCAATACCCGAATACGCAATTTTAAACATTGATTAAAGGTGGCCCAAATAGTGGGTCTTATAACTTAACCCTATAGACTAAGATGCCCGTGAGGGGTTTAGATGTTTAGATAGGTCTTATGGCTTCTAGATTTAGAAGTTGCATAACAACGGGTTTTACAACCTAGCCCTATAAGCTAAGTGGCTCGTATGGTAAATCTTACAATCTTACCATATAAATCAGGATGCCCGTGTGAAGGGTCTAAGGTTATATTATTACCTAAACATTTTTCTCAGAGATCAGACTTACAGTTTCTATTAGAAATTATCATCTTTTTAATCAGCGATTAGTGGTTAAGTCATTTTTGTCTAAAGAATTTTCCTAAAGTCAGACTTATGACTTTCATTGAAAATTGTCGGAGTTAGGAGTTTAATGTTTTAGACACTTCAATGTTTTGACACAAATGTCATTATCTTGTTTGCCAGCTTTGCCTTAGTACTAGCCTGCAATTGTTATTTTGACACTTACTAGCCAACAATTATTTTATACCCTAGCTTTCAATATTGTGCTTGTTGTTTTGTGCTTGTAGCTTTTCTACTACAATAGTTTGTCACACTACTTTAGCACTATGGTTTGTTCTTTACCTTGCTTTTCAGCACTTTGTTCTAGCTGTAGTAGTTAGATTTAGTTGCTAGTTTTACTTTTCAGTATTAATTTTATTTATTATGTGCTGATTGTTTTCTACTTGTTTGCAAGTGCTCATAGCCAACAGTTACAGTAGTTGGAGTTTATAGCCATAGGGGTTGGGTCTTGCAGTTGTAGAGGCTGGAGCTTGCAGTTGCAGTTTTTTCCAGGAGTTAGAGCTCACCATGGGTTTGGAGCTTACCAGCAGCTGGGTTTATAATAAGATTTTTGGAGCATTTATTTATGTTTTGTGTTTTGGTTTGTTTTTTAGGAGTTTGAGTTTTAGTGTGAGTTGTACATAGTAAATTAGTTTGAACATTATTCTGAAATTATTTTATTTAATTTTAATTTAATTGCATTAATTAATTAAGTGAACTTTTAATTGAAGTTAAGTTTTAATTTAAAATCAACTACTCAGCTCATTAGTTAAAATTATTTAAATTGGGTGCTTAATTAATTTGATTTAAATTAAATTTTATTACTTAGTTAATTAGTTTAAATTTTTAATTTTAAATGTATTTTGAAATTATTTAATTATTTAAATTAATTTGATTTGCTCATTTAATTGGTTAAAGTTGTTGGTTTCGACAACAAGCTTCTAGGCCAATGAAGGCCTCTTTTTCACGATAGTTTCCTCTTCAATTCCTCTGATGCTCTGATACCATGTTAGAAAGGAAGAGGTTTGAGAAGAAAAGCTTCATTTATTCATGATTTCTTCCCTATTTATAGATCTATATAAGAAATCTTAATGTATAAACAAATAATTACATAATAACTCTAATATAATCCTTCCTAAATTAGCTACCCGAACATGGAAAGAATTGTGGGGTGAGTCATGCGCCCCACGGATCATGCATTGTAGCCGTTGCATCTTATCTGTGTTGAACACCTTGGATTTTAACAGAAATAATGTTGGATTTTATATTCCTTATAAACTTAGGAATACACATGTATGGATTGTGAGTTAGGCTATCAAAAACTTATAAGAAGTATGATTCTATCTTCATCATAGTGGATCATTTTTTTTAATGACACATTTTCTTTATTTAAATAATATCATTGATGCATCCCATAGATCTAGATTTTATCGTATGGATTACTTAAATCTGTTACATTTGATATTTACTTAAATCTATTATATTTGATGTTATATTTAAATAGTCCGAGTCATTTTGGAAAACCCCTATAAAACATATGTTTAACTCCATTAAAACTATCATGTACTTATCATTCACAAAGCAATGATCAGACTAAAATATTTAATAAAAATTTGGGTGATATATTTCACTATCTAATAAGTGAGTATAAATTTAATGGGATTAGATATTTCCCATAGTTAAGTTTGCATGCAATCCATATGTCAATAGGTTTATCAACATGAATCCTTTTAAATAGTTTCAGCATTTAAACATAAAAAACCTATAGATCCAATTGATCTTCCTGTAAAGAATAGACCTAATGAATTTGTATAACCATTCATTCACATAACATGGATGTGAGTGTCAGGAAAATTCACATAACTATGGCACCGAAAGCTACTAAAGAAGTGAACATGAAATATGTGAAATTAAAAACATGCGATAAAATATAAAATATTTTTCACAAGAACTTTTAAACACTAAACAATCCTATAAAGTCATAAATCCTAATTTATAATGCTTCTGATTTGAATTTATATCATGAATCATCAGTTAGTACTTTAAATTATTCTGTCTTTCTATCTCTTTAAGATTCACTTCGAACACATTATCTACATAATCTCTGAAGTCATTCTAATCTTGATGTGAAATAATCCCATGCGAAAATGATTTTCTTAATGAAGTTTGCACGCTTAGATCTAGAGGCAATAATAAGTAAGATTTTATGCGGAATTGAACGATAAGATAAATATTAAATGGTACTTAGCTTAGGTTAAACACATGCGAGAGGTTGAGATCATTAAATAGTCAACTAAGTCTTACTTTGCATACATGAGTGGTTTCAACGAGAAATTTCAATACTAACAATAAGATTAGTTGCTATGAGAAGATCCCTCACACAACTCTTCCTATTACTAGGTTCTAGCGGCGAATAATTGACATGACCTTCATGAATCCATTAATAACCATAAATGAAAAGTAAACTAGGAAGATAAGAGAGTTTGGAAGAAGAGTTTACCCTCAAGAAATAGAAGATACGACACTTCAATGTCGGTGATGATTGTTTCTGCAGTAAGACAGCAGTTAAGCCCCTTTTCTCCAGCCTGGGCAGCAATCTGAACTTCCTTCACAGCCCTTGGAAGTCTCCCAATTGATGGGACAACCAGGGAAAGGTGCGGAGCCCGCTGGACAACAATCACGGCAGTTGGGACAGCAGCCTGGACTCGTGGAAAGTCCTGGACAGCACCCAATACGGGTCTGCCAGGATTCGGTCTACTCTTGGTGCTGCTGGACACCTTGGACAGCAGCCTGCAGTTTTCCTGGGTGCTGGTTAGCAAGGGAACTTGCTGGAATGAGGAGTGGGCAGTAGGTAGAAGATGAGGGGAAGGTTGAGGGCCACGTGCAAAGAGTTTAGGGAACTCCCGTTTGCATCACTTGGAAGAGAAAATTCAATAACAACGGAAGAGAGGGAAGCCGTTTCAGTTTTCAGATATTTGAAATCTGAAATTAAAACTAAAGAAATCTGGAATTAATTATGTGAGAGGAGGCATTCAAGAGGTGGTGATGTGGCAATTAAATAGAGGAGCAATGGGGTGAGGTGGCCGGCCATAAGGAGAGAGAAAGGAGCTTGGTAATAATAAAATGGGGCCCTCAACTAATGACAGATTTATTCCAAGATTAATCTCAGATTTGAGTGAATTTAGATGGGGCAATTTGAATTTTGAATCCAAGCTTTAATTGTAATTAATTCCTTAATGAGGGAATTAATTGGAAAAAAAAACCACTGAAGGCCGGCGGCAAGGAGAGGAGGGGAGAGAGTTTAATGTTGAAAACTGAAATAGATTTCAGTTTTTTTTTTATAATTGGGGTGGGAGGGAAATTTAATTGAAATCATTATAATTTGAATTCATTCAAAAAAATTTCCCATAAATGGAATTTCCAAATTTGGAAAGAATTTGAATTTCGAAATTCAAATTCCAAGGAAGGCTAAGGAAGGGAGGTGTGGGGGAAGTGGTGGAGAGGGGAGAGGCTGACGGCTAGGTGGCCGGCCGGTGGAGCTAGGGTGGCCGACGGGATGGGGCTCCGAGGGTGGCGGCACTAGTGGGAGCTTCGGCTTCTTCCAACTCTTGGTCATTGCTTGCGGGAGATTGTGGTGGAGAAGAAGAATGTTGCTTGAAGAAGGGAGAAAGAAGATATCCAAGAATATACGAGAAATATAGAGATAACTAACGAACTCACACAGAGATCGTGAGAACCGCGAACCTCGGACTCTTCCAAAGATTGACGGGTATTGCGAATTACCCTCCTCGGGCTTCTCCTCTCATGAACTCACTAAGAGATCACGTAAACTCACTAAGAGATCAACAAGAATATAAAACTTTTCATTATCAATAATCATCATCCTCTTTCCAAGAGGAAGGGGAGGGCTTAAATAGCCAAATACATGAGGAAAATAAAAAGACACAATTGCCCCTAGGGCAAACATAAAACAAAGCCCTCAAGTGAGGGTAGAAATGGAAAAGTACAAATAACAAATAAAATACATGAAAATAAATAGACACGATCGTAGCCGTTGATCTTCGATGTCCTCATCAAATCTTGTATAGTAAGTGACGAAATCATGTTTACTACAAATGGTGGATATCAAAGATATCAAACAGGCTAGCAGGATATGTCAACACATAATGACTCGTAAATTTCAATAATTACGCTCAAATCTTCTAGACAAAAATCAACTGAAAATTTTGTTGGAGCCTTCTAAGCCAACAAGCATGGTAAACACAATGCTTGCTTTTAGACAAACAAAAGTTTATAAGATGAACTTTTAATTGCATATTTTATTTATTTTTATCATATTTTAACACGAGTTAATTTTAATAATAAGCTGTATGTATGCACCTTGATAGTTACCCTATTATGAAGCTTGATTTCAATGATTTGTACTGATTTCCTTATTCGCAATGGCTTTCTAGAATTCCCTAAATTCCTTTGTTTGGTGGCTTATATGGTCCTTCCACTGTTCAGTGGGTTTCGCATCCCTGTTTTGGTTTTGATCCTTTTATCCTACGTCAGTAGCTTTAGTAGCACATTTATCACCTCTAATGATTTTCTGTTAGGTTTGTAAGGCTTTGGTGATTAACTTGGCCTTTTATTGAGCTTTGGCAGGATTTCTTCCTCTACTGCTAAATTATATCGACTATTGCGAGTGATTCTTCAATAATGTATCCTATTCCAGGAGAAAAAAATGTCTATGTTTTATTTGGTCTATCGTGACCAGTGGAAAGGGGAATTACAATTGATTTTGGCATTATAAATGAGAGACTAAAGCATGTCCAAAACATAGTTGTTATGTGGATGATATTTATAGTTAGATGTGCTATTTTTTCTAGTTCTAAAATTTAATTCGTCTATTAAGTGGGAGATTTGAAGGGTTTTAGAGTGGTTATCTTTTTATACAAGTGAGAGGCTTGCTATTTTGTTATTGATTTAAGAGTGGATTGATTTTAATAGAATTTCATACACTATGTTTTTCTTGATCTTGAATTTCAAAATGTTATTTTTAATAGAAGTCCAAAGGATTCCCATCTAAATTAATTTCTATGTTTATTTTTCCTCACATGTAGGAAATAATTGTCTAAAATTAATCATTTGAGTTATATTGCATGCATATAGAATGATTTTTTGTCACATACAAAATATTTATTAAAAATCTTAAACCTTAAAAATATCCATGGCAACATATCAGTAATTCCGCATGCCAAGAAAGTAATTATTTATGGATGAATTATAATAGAGACAAATGCTAACTGGGTTCAATTTAATTTAGGTATCTATCATGATAAACAACTAATATCCACTAACCAATTCATCAAACACTATTATTCCCAAAAGGTGCTCCAAAGTACGGTTCAGATTTTTTATTGTCCACACATTACCAAAAAAATATCAAAAAACAAACCCATGACGCTTGAAGGAAATATTTTAGGGCTTCTAAGTTCTAACGAAAATATATTATGCATTGAGAAAATCGTGATCAATTACTCAGAGCTATCAATGAAGATGACTAAGGGTTTAGGATATTAAGGAAAGGTAAGGATAAATGAGTAAGCATGAAAATAAGAAAAATGAAAAAAAAAAAAAAGGCTAGATCAAACTAGTGAGAAATGAAACTAAAACCTGACAGGTAAAATGAGCATAATTGTAGACGAATTATGAAAGCACATAGGGCAAAAGTTTTATTAGCTGCAGATAAAATATAAAACAATACTTCACAGATGTGACAATTAAGTTTCTACTTGAACAAGTAGACAATGCTTCAAAAAATAATAATAAAATAAAAAAGGCAATTCGCAGTCAAACCTGTGAATTGATAGTATAGCCTGCCAGCTTGTCTGAGATTACCTCAACTCCCATTGCTTCTATAAAGGTAATTCTGCTTTTTATGTGGTAAGAGACAATTATTACAAGTAGCCACAAGGAAACTGCGCCTGCCAAGGTAGCAGCAGGATCAGGAGCAATCAAATGATGAATTGAGCTCCTTTCCATAAAATTTTTTGACGTTCGCACTTCAATTTCTGAAGTTTTAAAATTTGAGGGACACTTTATCATATCTACCAGTGCATAAATGAGTGTATTTAGAAGCCCAGATGCCTCCAGTGCACTCAATGCCTGCTGTTTGTGGTGTTTTGCAGCACAAAGTATAAGGGAAGCTCCACCAATCCTTACTTCGATATTGGATGACGTCACAGTTCTATTAGAAAGAGAAGCGATACTTCCCAATCTTTCCACCAAAAGATTACTGAGTATGACAGATTGATCTCGACAAAGTCTAGAAAGAATTTGAATTGCCTTGTCCTGAACAGAGGGACCACCACTGGCTAAACAATTGACCAATGGTTCTAAGCTGGCTGGTAACTCAGAAAGGGCAAACCATAGCGGATACTTAAATTTCACACACTGCTTTGTCTTAACCAACAATGCTAATGCATCTAAAGGATCAGAAAAATTAACCCCATTTATGTCCATGCCAGTCAAGGTCTCAGCAAGTGCAAGAACTACAAACCTACACTCTGAGTTTTCTGTAAAAACATCACCAACTGGGAAGTGGTTCAGCAATTGATTTAGAGCACACGAAGCATTCTTCTTTCCAGCCAAAGAACCTTCACCCAGAACTCTTGTCAAAGCTGAAACAATATCTTCCGTGAGTGCTTCTTCTGCAATTTGTGGATCAGAAAGAAGATTTGCTAAAGCAGCAACTGCAGTTTCAGCAGAATCTATTGAGGATGTTTTTGCCATCTTTATTAGAGGTTTAACATCACCTTCTGCTATATAGGACATTTTAGTCTTATTTGGAGAATTGGTTTTGTTTGGACGGGACAGTGCACTCAAAGCTCGGGCTGACTGAGTAGCAACAAGTTGAGTTTTGCTTGTCAAAAGCTTCATGCATGGATGGACAATCTCATCTGTTGCAAGACTATCACATATGTCTTGCCGGCAGCTAAACAAATCAGCTAGTACAGAAGCAGCACACTCCTGGGTTTCTTCATTCGATGAGTTGAGAACTTCTACAAGGCACCTAAGTCCTTTATTAGCAGGGGCACCCTTCTGCACGAGGTCTTTATGGGATGACATGGTAAGCACATGACCCAATACTCTGATAGCATGAGACTTTGAGCTAATTGAGTCACTTAGGAGAAGGGCCAACAAATAATTTATAGTAGAAGAGTCAGCATAGCGTATTAACTTAATAAGTGCTTTTGCAGAAACTTCTTGGCCCTTTGGACCACCACTTTTTAGAAGCCAAAGGAGTGCTGCCACTGCTCCAGCACTCTCAACACATGCGCGGATGTCATCACTGTGACAACACAAGTTCCAAAGGACATGAGCAGCATCTTCTCTTGCCTTATGAAACCCCATATCTAACAACTGAACAAGTGGAGGGATACCACCAGCGGCTGTAATGGCCCATTTGCTCTCCTCAACTTGATCCGTCAATATTGAAAGCAAGGCAACTGCATACTCCTGATGTTGCTCGGTAGAAAGTCCTAGAAAAGATATCAAAAGCTGAACACCCTCTCTCTTCCTAAGGGACTCCCAAATGCCAACAGACTCACAACATAAGCTAGTCAAAGAAAGTATAAGTTGTTCCTGAACGTCAACAGCAGCCAATGTTATCAGCCCGATGAGCACTTTCTTTGCATCTGCATGTTCGAGCCTATTGGCAAGAAAAGGATTTCCATAGAGGCTAGCTAGAGCCTCAAGAATGCGATCCTGAACAAGTTTATTATCCCGGGGTTTCAGAAGGGTAACGAGGAGACCTTCAATCTCCACCGAATCAAAAACTTTATCTTCGTTAATCACAAAAACCATCAGTGCATAAGCAAGAGCTCCAATTATATCAGCAACTGGTGCAGCCAGACGAGGTGATTTGGCTAGCTGTCCAAGGTAAAGAATAAGAGAAGACATACCACCGCAAATATTTGCTAAAGTGTTGACCGCGTGTTTCTGCAACACATGACCAGATTCCTCTTGCATACACTCCTTTGATGGAGCTACAACGGCCCCAATTAGTACTGCTATGCCACCTGCATCCACCAGAGATTTTTTGGCCGTTGTTGATTTGGATGAAAGGGCCTCCAAAGCCTCAGCTGCACTGGCACGGACTGATATATCATTATTATGGCCTAGAAGAGAGAGAAGGGCACCCACTGCTCCAGCATCTATTACCTTATGGATGCTGTCTCCAAAGGCCAATATCAAGCGTGCCAAGAGAGAAGCAGCATTTGCTTGAGCAGCGGTGTTGTCTGAAGATAGAAGACCAGTAATAATGTCCACACCTCCAGCCTCAAGGGTTGCTTTCCAGTATCCATCTTTATCACCACATAGGTTCCTCAATGCACCAGTAACAAAGCCTTGAACAACCTTGTCTTGTCTTATGTTTGGATCGAGCAGATCCCAAAGGGTAGGCACAACACCCTCAGTGACAAATATTTTCATGCCGATATGATCATCCGAGAGCCCACCAGAAGATACTTCAAAAATGGCTTCAGCTGCTGCCTTCCTAGCCTCAGAAGATTCGGACTTCAAAAGGGAGAGTAACGGAGGGATGCACCCTCCAAGAAGAACCTTTAGATGCAACTCTTCTTCCTTGCAGAGGGCACTAAGTGTTGCAGCAACATTCGCCTTTGCTGTTGGTGTGCCATTCCTGAGCATGGAGATGAACAATGGCATTGCTTGAGAATGTGAACCAATCATAGTCCTTGCCTCCTTTCGAGCCCGAGCAATAGACAGCAAACGTGCAGTTATAATCTCTTTCTCAGGTGGAGAGGACACCCCAGCATGAAGCTGCTCGAGAAGGCCCGCCAAGGTGGCCATGGTAGATTCAGGACCATCCATTGTAGCCCCTCCATCAAACTCTCTACATAGGAAACATAATTGTTAAAAAATAGACCCTCGCGAAGAAATGTTGCTGGGCTTGCTCTTGCTTGGCAGAGACATAATATGAAAGAAAGCTGAAACTATTTCTTAATCAAAACAAGGAATAACAAAACCAAATTTTACTCCCATGCATACCTGGATTTAGAAGATGGCGTTGATGTTGAAGGAGAAACCAAGTCCCTAAGTTCACGAGCCTTCTGCATGAACACTATTGACTAAATCTAACCAGATTTCCACCTTACGGATCTACGCCTCAATTCGGGGTACTGTCTCCCTGCAGCAATGAAATCTGAGGCTGACTAATTCCTAAATACGCAATTTGCTAATTCTGATATGTGAACAAAACAATGTGGCACACGCAAATCTGAACAATTACAGATAGATATCACCAAATCAGTTATACTAGCTAAAACCCCTAAACTTAAAAGTGAGAGCAGCCATAAAGGAGCTTCCTTAAGTAGGTTTACAAGAATTCATGAATGATAGAATAAATCTTACCAGCCAAAAGGAAAAAACAAAGTGCTCGAGGAAGCAAACCAATCAGCACGAAAAGAGTAGCACTTCTTTAAATAGATCGAGTGCCACAACCTCACAATGCGAAACCCCAGGATTTTAGCTCAAACGAACAAAACCCTCATTAGATCTCATCCCCTCCACCAATTGCGAGCGCCACTGACCCACAATATAACAGAGATCTTGAACCAAGGACTACGGCTGATTTTGAGCTGTTGATCCTTGTTAGCGGTTCTTGAAATCACGATGAAATAAGCTGTAGGATATATCGGAATTCATAAAGATGCTGATAGTAATATACTGTACTTGAATGAGTAAAAGAATAAGCACTCATTCAGTGGACGCGAAAAAACCCCTAAAGAGTAGATTCAACCTTCGAATCCACCCCAGCATTTTTAAAATTCAGTAAAATTACCTCAGGAATGCAATGCTACGCCGAGAAGAGAAGAAAATAGGGCGGTCGCTTGCACCGTTTAGCCTCAAAGCCCGTGATCCAATTTTCCAAACCATCTAATAATGGAGGGAGAGAGTGTGTGTGTGTGTGTGAGTGTGTGTGTGGTTGGGTGGGTGTGGGTGTGTGATGGGCGGAGGCCTCTTTGCTTTCACCTTCTGATTTCTTCTTGGATCCTCTTTCTTGCGTTCTTCACTCGGCCGTTCGTTGTTCTTCGGCAAGATTAGCGTATCTCCTCCACTGAATCCGTGCAGTGGCACTGTGCCACCAGAGTGCCTGAGAGGGAGAGAGAGGGGAGGGAGAAAGAGAGATGCGGAAGGTGGAGGGCGGCGGGGGAGGGGTGGAGGAAGCCAAGAGAAAAAACTAGTTAACTTTCGCAATTCGATGAACTCGGGTTGGAATCTGGCTCAACTGTGATTTGAAATTTTGATTCGAACCAGTATTTGAAAAAAAAAAAAATTGAAATTGTTTGCGAGCATTAATATTACGAGAGTGATCGCACAAGAGCCTACCTACGTCGATGTCGGAGGGATTGAGGTGCACCCTACGTGCGATCGAAGAAAAAAAATCAAAGCCATGTTGCTCTCGTCTCCCGCAGTAGCAGTAGCAGTAGCAGTAGCAGTAGCAGGGGAAATTATTCGTTCGAACACTGGATAATATCCGGAGCCTAATAAAAATGTGTCACATCACTTCTTACTCGGTATTGAACTTTGATTGAGATGAGTACTGTGAAGTACCGAGCAACTCCGAGCTCGATACTGCTCAGTACTGCTCGGTACTGTGAAGTACCTAACGCAAAATGTGTCCGGTGTCCGAACCCAATAATCTCTCCAATTGCAGGGCTCATGATGTGACCTTCCCCTATGGAATCGCCAATTTCTCTAGGTTCCAGCAAATTTCTTGGTGAGCGACACTCAGAAATTATTCACAGATTTATCTAATTAAAATAAAAAAAAAGGCATACTCGAAATTCTTTTATTATTTGGGAAGAACCGTTAAACAATGACTTCATGGATCTCTTAGATTCATCGAAAATTATTCTGTGTGGATCTCGGACGACATTCGGAGACCAACTAGAACGGGTCACATCACTTTTTTGCTCGATATCACTCGATACCGTGAGACGTGACACGTTATGGTTGGTCTCCAGACTGTCCGGCCTCCTCACAAAATAATTTCTCCTAAGATTGAGATTTTTTTATTGAAAAAGTTATATTAAAGGCAGCATATAAAACATAAAAGTCTAATTAGCAATCTTGCCCTTAAATAGGGTGAGTTAATTGTGTATCCTTGGTTACTTTAGATTTGTATTAAGCTTTTCTAAATAGCGGTGGGCCTACTAATGATTGTTAACCGACTTAATCAAGACTAATCAAAGTTATGGGAGGTATTGAGTCAACAAAATTTTCATGCATAGTTGACCTTTAAAAATAAGCTAAAATTTCAACAATCTTAGATGATTTTGGTTGGTAGGTGTAATTGCCATAATGTGAAACCAGTTCGGACCCTTTAATTCAAGGAAGAATCAATATCATACAAGATTATTATACCCAACCAATTTGAACAAAAGTCGACTCAAGCAAGCACTGGGCGCATATTTAATTAGCTCTCTTCTTCTCCAATCTCTTTTAAAATACTCCCAACGAATAATGGAATAAAAAAAGCCATTTGTTGTCATTGGTTTGATGCTTTGATTATGATCCTTTATTTAGATTTAATTATTTTTCATGTAAAAACTTATAATAGGGGTGAGGTGTCGTTATTTTCTTAGAAATTTTAAATCTTCGCCTATTTCTCAAGGGCATGGAGCAAAGCAAGAGACTCTCACATAAAGATGTGGTCAAAATGTTGATGAAGAAGCATATGACTCAAGAGAAACATAAGAATATAGTGGAAGAATCTTCATCCTCCCTTCCTCCAAAGAAATTAAGGAGCAAGAAGTTGAAGAAGCAATTATAGAGGAGAACTAAGGTCCTACTAGGATTGATATTCTTCGAACAACTCTTCATGTGTGGAGAAGTAGTTGTCTTTTTTTTTCCCTAATTTATTAAGTACAAAAACAAGGAGCCCACTTGTTAGTGATTTCGCCATCATTCCTAGTAGACTAAAAGCTCTTGATGCTGATGTTATATCAAAAAGGGAATAATATGAGTAGGGTTGTGTATAAGAGATTTCACAAGATAAAATAAGAAATGAAGTTTAATAATAAGGTAAGACTAACTAGTTTATTGAAATTCATGTAAAATATTTACAAAATTTTGATATTTTCAATGAATCATTCATGTTAAACCTATGAACCTTAGCTTATATTAACTATTTTGATGATAACAAATATTATTTATTTTTAGTTTATAATGTTTAATGTTTTTGCATGCTTATGTACTAACATTTAATGTTCAAATTAGATGATAAATTTAAATATTATGGGTGCTCTGAAGAAATGTATTTTTGGTGTACAAGTTGCTAAGATAAGCCACATATACGCAAGTATATTGAGCTAAAATAAAATCACATATAAATGATTAAAAATAATCTTAATTTAACATAATACATAATTAGGTTCAATTTTAAATTAAGTCTAAGAAAACATTTTAAGAGATCTAATAATAAATAAAAATTAATCTTAATTTTGTACTATACAATATACATTTTACTAAATGATTGATTATAATTACAACATGATTTATTTGCACCAATTAAAAAATTCAAAATTTGAACGCGTTATACAATATACATAATTTTGTATAACCAGCATGATTAATATTCAATCTAACTAGCAAAAAATTTGGTGCTATATTGATAATATATACCAAATATTGTGTATCATATTGTACAAATGCATTCCTTGATTAATACTAAGCAAATATTTGATGTAAGGTAGATTTGATACTATTCAATTTTATCTATCATACTATATTTTAGTAATTATAATGTATGATCAACCCACACTTTTTTTTTAATTGAAAATAGGATTTCTTGAATCATGCACTTAATTTATAAGTTAATATAAGATCCTAAATGTCACAACCTGTCTTGATGCAAACAAATGTATTAAGTAGGTCACATCATGTTGAGTCTGTAACAATCAATTTATTTTCCAAAGATCTATTTAAAATAATTTTTTTTCTTCAATATTCATAAACACTGAGCCTTTTTTATATCATTAAATAAATAGTAAGGAAAAATATTAACATTATTTCATTTATTCCACTAAACTATATAATCAAAAAATTATACCTAACAATCATAGTATAATATATCTCCTCACCAAAATATGTACAACACCATAATTAAAAATAATAATAATAAGTCCATATAATGAACATACGTATGATCAAGATCTCAATAAGTATTAGTAGCTTATACTCAAGTGAAATCTTATACTTTCCTAAAAATAATATATGTAGGTAAAGTATGTGGTGAGCAATACTGCTCAGTATGTTACATTATAAAATTTACTATAAACAAAATAACTTATGTGCTTGTATAACATTGTATGAACAATAAAACATGCTTAAAATAAATTAACATGATATTTGATGCAGCGCATAAAGAGTCCCAATCCCGTATTCCATTACTTGCTCAATATTCTATATTTGCTCAGCCTCCATTCTCTCCATACTATTTCTGTTAGTAGGATATTATTATTACTTTTGGTTGGTTTCCATATTAATAGTAATTATAAAAAACTATCTCATAGTAAAATATACATATACATCAAGTGCAAAGGAGAAGGGCAGTTTTTATCATATCAAAAAAAAAAAAAAATACAGTTCTCTGTTCTGGGAAGAGTTTTCCCTATTCTTTTGTTTTCTATGTTTTTCTTTGGTTTCAGGTCCTCTACTGGAGATCCTTGTGCTACTGCCGATCCTTGGGTTGCATCAGGTTGGTATCAGAGCCAAAGAAGCGAGATGACAGACAAAGGTAAGGAACCAACTACAGAGGATACTTGAAGCCGTGAAACGTTGTGGGCAAACCAGGAGAACATCATCCGGCAACTTGAGGTGTTGTCTACTGATGTGCAACGGCTTTTCGAAATGCGTCGTGAGTTCAATCTCCACAGTGCAAGGACTCCACCCCATTAACTTCGTCGCGAGGAGACACTAACTCTGGCTACAGGTGTTCGGCGAGGCATGCACCTTGACCGGCATTGGCGTCGAAACCCCCATCTCGATCAAGAAGTGTCTGATTCTGAATAAGATTCTCGTTAAAACCAAAACAAGATGCAAATCACCAAAAAATTTGAAAAAACATACAACCCTAATCGTAATAAAATCAAATCAAACACATGAATCAATTAAATTAATTTCTTAAAACAATATCCATAGGCAAGTGCCCTATTTATTACAACCCATAATTACAGAAATTAAAAGTGGCCAAGCACCGCTAACTATAGACCCAGATTCTAATCCTAGGACAGACGCAAGTGACTTTGAGTGAGATACTCTATGTCATTAATTCCTTGGTCTCCTCCTCTTTAGATTCCTTGGATTCATTGTATATGGATATCCAAATGGAAAAGAAAACTCTTCCCCTAAGGGGGAGGTTATTTTTTTCCCCTTTGGGTATTAAAATGATCCAAAATTGGGCTTCAAAATTGAAAAGAATTATCCCCATGAGGGTATTCTTTCCTCTTTAGAATCAAATTTTAGATACATGTATCACAACTCAAAGATTAACTTTCACAACTGTTAACTTTGAACAAATTACATTGACATAAAAGTAAAAATATATACTCTCATGTAGAGTTATCCCAAGCATTTAATAATCAAATAAATCCCAAGTAGTTTATATAAATGAGCAGTAAAAGATAAATCACATTCGGTCGCACTCTTATTTACTTGGGGGCTAAGCGTTTGAAGCACCCACAACAATTATAATTGATACGTCATGCAAAAATTATCTTGATTGGGCACGAATCTCGAGGCAAAAATCAAGTTGGAAACTTCAAAAATTAAATTCGGGAGCACCTGAACTTCGATTTCAGCAAACTTACAGTGAAACTGAGAGTCTCGAAAATACGAACCTAACGACACCAAATTTGACTCAATCCGAGCCCAAATGAGTCCAAATCAAGGACCTAAAACGTTGTTGGAAGGTTCAAACCACAATTTGAGTTACCAAACGGTCTCCGATTTTAGTGAGGTTGTATTCGAATCGAACGGCTCGACGAGACGAATCCAACGAGCCCAAGATCGTCGGATTCCGACATCACTAAGGCTTTCAAATGGCTAACAAATGGTGTATGATCAAATGATTCAATATCAGCCGTCCATTCAACCGCTCCCTGTTTGCCGCTGATCTCACACATATTTACAAGTCATGCCACTCCAGAAAAACTAAAAATAGAGCCCTCATTCTTCAGAAGACGGACTCAAGTGAAGAGAGAGAAGAATAAGAGAAGAAGGAGGAGAAGGAAGAAGCTCCTCCTCGACCACCGCCGGAATTCGTCCTGCTGCCCGAACACGTCGGGATTCTGCGTGATATTAGGGAG